ACGCCTTAGAAAAGCATGCGCCCTGTCTCTTATACACATCTAGATGTGTATAAGAGACAGTAAATATCCATTGTTAGTATAAAATTGACGCCTTAGAAAAGCATGCGCCCTGTCTCTTATACACATCTAGATGTGTATAAGAGACAGTAAATATCCATTGTTAGTATAAAATTGACGCCTTAGAAAAGCATGCGCCCTGTCTCTTATACACATCTAGATGTGTATAAGAGACAGTAAATATCCATTGTTAGTATAAAATTGACGCCTTAGAAAAGCATGCGCCCTGTCTCTTATACACATCTAGATGTGTATAAGAGACAGTAAATATCCATTGTTAGTATAAAATTGACGCCTTAGAAAAGCATGCGCCCTGTCTCTTATACACATCTAGATGTGTATAAGAGACAGTAAATATCCATTGTTAGTATAAAATTGACGCCTTAGAAAAGCATGCGCCCTGTCTCTTATACACATCTAGATGTGTATAAGAGACAGTAAATATCCATTGTTAGTATAAAATTGACGCCTTAGAAAAGCATGCGCCCTGTCTCTTATACACATCTAGATGTGTATAAGAGACAGTAAATATCCATTGTTAGTATAAAATTGACGCCTTAGAAAAGCATGCGCCCTGTCTCTTATACACATCTAGATGTGTATAAGAGACAGTAAATATCCATTGTTAGTATAAAATTGACGCCTTAGAAAAGCATGCGCCCTGTCTCTTATACACATCTAGATGTGTATAAGAGACAGTAAATATCCATTGTTAGTATAAAATTGACGCCTTAGAAAAGCATGCGCCCTGTCTCTTATACACATCTAGATGTGTATAAGAGACAGTAAATATCCATTGTTAGTATAAAATTGACGCCTTAGAAAAGCATGCGCCCTGTCTCTTATACACATCTAGATGTGTATAAGAGACAGTAAATATCCATTGTTAGTATAAAATTGACGCCTTAGAAAAGCATGCGCCCTGTCTCTTATACACATCTAGATGTGTATAAGAGACAGCTTCAGAGGCGCATGCTTTTCTAAGGCGTCAATTTTATACTAACAATGGATATTTATTTAAGTTAATCTAGTCATTTTAAAGGTTTGGCGTTATTGTAAAAATAAAATGCATTTATATTATATTTTTTTATATTTTAAGTAATTTTAAACTTAAATCACTAGACCTCTATGAAAAATTAACAAAAATCAACAGTCTTCGCAGGCGCCTCTGCGACGTAGGTTATCTTTCTCGGGTTAACATGTTGCGCTAATCGAATTTGTATGCAATTTTCTTTGAGAAGTACTAATAATGGAATTACTTAATTGTTTGCATTTAAGGTCACAGAAATAAATTCGTCCCGCCGGGGTAATTTTAGTAAAATGCTCTGGCAAAATGAATTTCCCATAAAGATCCGCAGTCTATGGGTTACATTCCGCGATAATAGCGCGCGTGTCGCACTGACCGTGGGCTGATAAACTCGAAGCCGTATTAGACGGTCCGAGAGAGTGGAAATTAAAGGAATCTAAGGGATTAAAAAGTAAATTGGCGGGGAAGGACGTCCCCGGCGAAAAAATGTCAGTGGAGATAACATTACTCCAAGTCGTAGGGAAGTAAGATAACAGCGTGCATAACTAATGTTCAGGGTTATGGATTAAAGTATCCGCTGCGATAATCGTTGCATTTTTCGTTTTTCCTTTCGCCAAATGGGGCCGATTTAAATTTCAGTCAAATCACGGCTCCCGCCGGAGTATCGTGTACGTAACTTGCCGAGAAATTAATGGAGGTTTGAACATGTTCGGCTTACCGTTGCCGTTGCTCTAACTGGAAGAAGCAGGGTTTCTTCAATTACATTTATAGCGCGATAAAGCTTGGCTCTCGTCGAATTAAAAACAGAGCGGATCGTATCATAATTCTCCGTAATTAGATCGCAGATTTTTACGCGGTTATATAAAAGTTTTCAAATATCAATAAAAGTCTAATGGAATTTAACTCGGTTTCACATTAACGAGGGTAGAACTCTGCTTAATTCCATTTCCTTGAAATCTATTTACGAGAACCGGGGATTTGCACGAGCAACTGCCTGTCTATATATTTATAATATGTACATTTTATACGCCATTTTACAAAAGTTAGAATCAAAGATAGATTTTCTTCCTCGATTCAAATATTATTCATTCCAAAAGGAACGCAGAAATGTAATTAGACCTCGCCGATTTATACGTTTCGTTGCAATTTAAAAATCTGCACATGCCATAAATGTCGCGCATAGAGATTCACAAGCCTAGTTCCGAAAGTTTCAGATTGTTACACAAATTTTCGTTTTCATAACATGTTTCCTTCAAATTTATCGGAAGTTACTCGAAGCGAGCATACAATTTAGAGCACATTTGCAGAGTACCGGTCCGGTATTTAAAGAATAAATTTAAATGGCTGACGGAAAAGGAAAATGGTCAGAAAATTGTAATTCGAGAGAACAATTTCGAATGTTTTACGCATTCGTGC